ATATTAGTGCAAACCTGACTAATTCGCTGACCTCTCTGAATTTTACAATTCCTCAGTTGAAGAGCAATAATCTGTACTAAATGAAGTCCAAGTCTTTTCCTATTTTCTATCTGCAACCCTCCCCCTCTCCCCATCTTTTTATATTTTGTGTATCAGTTAGATTTTGGCAGTCATACTTCAACTTTCATTTATATGCATATATACACCCAAGTTCATATACATTTAATGCAAATGAAAACTACATTTGAGTTGATTTTCTAAAACTGCATTGCATACATCCATACTTTTTTTTCAAATCTGCACTTATGTCAGCCTCTTTCAGGATGTCTACAATTAGCCTGTGCTAAATAAAAGACGTTAGAAAGTAAAGTGCTATGGAAAGTCAGATAATTATGGTCCTGAGTAATTATGATCCTGCCATCAGAAAAGTTTCTTTTCTCTGTCTCTAACACTTCACTTTAATTTTAGAGTAATATATATTTTAAAAGTAAAGGAAATGGGAAGAAGTGAAAAGGCTATCATGGCAACGTTTATGAATGCAAACCTATAAAAAGACGACCTTGCGATCACTATACATAACTCTCTCAATAAGCTTCAGAACATTGCCAGTATTACTTGAACTACTAATCAAAATTTTTAAATCATTACCAATATTCAGACTGTTTAGTCCCCCAAATGGTCTTTGGGATAACTTTACTGGTCACTGCACATATTGTACCAAGTTTTGAGTGATGTATCTTATGGATATACCGCCCTTCATTAAGTTGAATACATGAAAAACAACTAGGGATGGTATTTTAAAGTAAATAATAAGTGATACTATTTCTTCATTAGTATAGAAAAATGCGATCCAGCCGGATCAGGAACATGAGGAGGACCTCTGGGCCACTATTCAAAAGTGTGTAGTAAGGACTGTGTCGTCCACAGAGGTCTAGCCCCTGCCAGGTAACCTCCTGAGGGGTGGGCGTCTTTGCTGTTCATGGTGAGCCCTGGGGCCTCGCTGAGAGCTATATCCACCAGGTAGCTTAGCGTGGGATGCTGGTGTAACATGATTCAGTCCAGTCTACAGGGAGTGGGGCAGCTGGGGGCAGCTGGGGGCAGTGCATCCATGGGGCAATGATTCACTCAGCGATGCCCAGGCAATGAAACCGATAAACTCCATGGACACGGAGCTCACGTGCGCTCCCCAGGCCGGCAGTACGCTGTGCACGTTGTCACACATTGTGCCTGGGAGGAGGGGACATGATTCCTGCGGGAGAAGAGCCCGGGAAGCTCCGAGTGTGAACCCCCCTCAGATTCCACCCTGTGTCTGTGTCCGACTCGTCTGCTTCCCTATGATGAATGTCACTGAGCATCGCAGCTCTCAGGGGGCTCCTTCTATCGAATTACCAACCCTCAGGGTCATTTAGGGAACTCTCTGAACTTGCAGGTGGGTTCAGAACCGCCAGGATTGGCAGGCTGCCCTTCGCACATCTGCACCCTTAAACTAGCTTGGTGCATCGGGTAGGAAATCAGTGGAAAAGGCTGTCATTGCGAAGCCACTGAGCTCACGGAAACAAATGGGAAGGTGTGCTTGAAATTGGGATGGCCTTGACAATGCACCGCATTACACTATTTTATCAATTGTTTTTCACTCTAACGATCGCTCTAAAATATTTGACAATTGTTTATTTTAACAGTTATCTGCCATTTAGTGAAGTTCAGTTAGATTTTAGCTTTTTCTCGTGGCCACACGTTGTCCACCCAGGAAACTGCCCCAAACACGTTTTTCTAGCCAAAAATATTGTTCAGGATATATAACCTTAGTGATATGCCGTTAGCTACTCTGGTCAACGAGTTTTTCCTTAACAGAACATATTACATTACACAGAAAGTGAACACAGTTCACTGTATTTCTTGTATTATTTTACTTCATAGTGAACTACTAGGTCTTTCTAGGTTTTACAGTAAAAAACGCTCAGGCCACTCTCTGTCGCACACTCGCGTCTGGCAGCTGACGGCCCCGCCCACGGGCAGCCGCGCGCATGCGTCCCCNCACACACACACACACACACACAGAGTACTATCGCTGCCAGAGGAGGCCGCATACCTGAAAAGGTGATGTTGAAACCCTCGTAGGAGATGGAGAAGTCTGATATGAAGCGGAGCTGGGCTGTGAAGTTCCCGAACAAACCCGCCTTAATGGAGTGCGGCAGCACCGAGCCCGTGAGCCTGGCCACGGGCTCCGAGAAGCTCCCGTCCTCCGTGACCAGCAGGTAGTCGTGGGAGCTCTCCAGGTGGAAGGTGTGGAAGATCATCTGAACTCCTGGGAGGCAGAGGGACAGAGGGAGAGTTAACAGTTACCGAAGAATAACGTCTTATGGATTCAGAGACATCAAAGTCTTGAATTAAAATTTAATCTTAATATGCAAACCTAACGTTGAAGTTTGAAAGTTTGAAAGAAAATGGGTGGTCTCAGAAATGAAACAAAGAAGAGGAATAAACAGCAAAACTAAATAAATGCTTAAGTATATATAAGTACACATGTGGGTGACACAGATAGAGCCACAGGTAGAGGCATAACACAGATATAGACACCGATAGACATATAGAAATCGGTAGAGACACAGACATGCAAGTAGAACCCGGCAGGACGCCGACAATGGGGGCACACAGAACAGCTCCCCAGGCCTGGGGGTGGGGGGCGTCTGGGCTGAAGGTCAGGTAACTTTCCCATGTACATTAAACGGACGTCCTGTAGGAAATCAGGGCACCCAGTACAGAAACCTGCGCAGCTGAGGGGCGACGCACTTGAAACCACAGTTCATGCCCCCTTAACGGACATGCCCGCATATTAACTAACCCAGAAGGATGCTTTCTGGGTTCCTAGAGCCAAGTGAGTAAAATTAACCATGAAGAGGTTCTTTATAATAAAAACACGCATATGTCTGATGACAAAACCTTAGCCACTCATGATTTGTTTCCTCTTTGTTCTTAATTCCCTTCCTTCGCGAGGGCATAGGGTAACGCAGCACATGTGATAAAATATGTGAATTTGGCATCAAGCTGAGTTCAAGTCTAAGTGGAAAGACAAAGTCTACATAATATTTATGCCATCACAGTTCCAAATTATCTCCCCAGAAATGACAAGTTTAGTCATGCTTTTTAGTACCCATGGTACCCACTGTTCCATCCTAAGTCCAAAGTTTATAAGCTACATTTCCTGCATGAAATGCAAGTTTTCCTGGTCTTCACTCTACTTGTCTATAAAGTGAGGTTAACGGAAAGTGCCCCATGAGCCACGCCTGGTTTATGTGAAGATCATGACTCATTGTAGTAACACTGGGTAGCTCAGAACACACGGCCAGTGCAAACAGAGATGGAGAGCTAGTGTGGAAATTGCAAGGTTAGATCATTTCCTCTTGTTTTCTTTTATTAATCAATATCTGTCTCTTGCATAACCTGTGTCTCTCTTCTTTACCATTACACCTAGTTTCCAAGCGTATGGTCACATGGACAAATCCCAGTTATCTGATAAACACAGAGTAAAACAAGAAATCGACTTTTACTTGTAGCACCAATCATTTAAAGGCCATTGTTCTAAAATCCTCCAAAATTAACAGTGGAACTATATGAGGAAATCGACTATCTTACTCACACATGAATACTCTTTTCTTTCCCCATGTTTGTATCTTGTTAATTATTCTGTACATTTGCAATTTACATAATAGTCTTACCCTTCCCATGAGACACCTCAATGGTCCATGTACAGTTTAGAGAGTTCGGGTAGAAATCTGGAAACCCCGGAGAAAGGACTGTTCCACTCTTCCCATGGATGTAGCCTCCACAGAGGGCTTCAAATAATAAGAAAAGATGAGTATGCTTTAAAAAATTTCATAATGATTGCTAGAATACAATACATTTCAAGTGATATTTAACAGGCCAAGAACTAAAAGAATTCAAATATCATCACCATGAAAACTAAAACAAAACCAAAACTTTATTTTACTTGCAACTATAACATGCTAGTTCATATACAGGTATCCTAAAAAGCACAAAACTTATAGAAATAACACAGAGTAAGACATAACAACTAAAGCAGAACCCCCCGGGATGGTGAATGTCATGTGTCCACTGGACTGAGGTGCCCAGCATGCGGTCAAATGTTCGTGTTGTCCTGGCTGCGTCTGTGAGGGTGTCTTTAGATGAGGCTAAGGCCACACTGGCCAACTGAGTAAAGCAGACTTCCCTTCCAGCGGGGGTGGGCCTCATCCGGTCAGTTGAAGGCTTGAATAGAACAAAAAGGCTAGACCCCCTGCAAATAAGGGAAACTCCTCTCACCTGACGGCTTTCAAACGGGGACACGGTCATTTTCCCAGCCTTTGGATATGAACTAAAACACCGGCTATTTCTGAGTCCCGAGCCGGCCAGTCTTCAGACTGGAGCTCACACCATCGGCACTCGTGGGTCTCCAGCTTGGCCACTGTGATCTGGAACGTGGCAGTGTCCACAATGGTGCGAGCCATTTCCTATAATTGGTACTTCTCTCTCTCTCTCTCTCTCTCTCTCTCTCTGTCTCTCTCGCGCGCGCGCGCGCTCTCTAGCTCTCTCTCTCTCTCTCTGCCTGTGTGTGCGTATACATACATATATATGCACATAGAGATAAATGGTGACACACACACACTCTCTCACACTCACACACGCACTGGCTCTGTCTCCCTAGAGAACACTGCCTTACACAATGAGAGCTTCAGAAATGGGGCAGTTTGCCTTTTCTGGAGCTGCTGGTCTCAGGAGCCCTTCAGGGGGTTTCAATTCTCTACAACACAATTGCCCTGTTCAATATGCCGTAGAGACTTGGTATTGAAGAAGAAAAGAAATTTCAA